TTTCAGCTGCATTTATTTCCAAGAGATGAACTTAAAATGAGATCCTTTTTTCCCATGAACAAGTATTTGGCTTCCTCCTGGCATAATCATAGGTCTATAGCATAGTAAAATGAGTAGCAGTTCTGTTAGGAACCAAAAAAGACTAGCCCAAACAAACATTGTTATCCTCCAATTCCAAATAATCCTTTTCAATGGAGGAAGTTCAGATTCAAGAGTTAGTGATGCAGCATATATTTCAGGTATTCCTGCACCAGGTCTGTACTCGGCTCGCTGTTCCAGGATCACCTTCAAGCATGCTGTAGGTTCAAGTCCTTCCCTGAATTCATTCATTTTAATGTTCAGGATCTGGGATTCTGATTGCAGACCGGCTAGCAGAGGAACGCTTCTGATAATGGTTTCTGCAAAACGGATAGCATGGCTCTTGAACTGCAGCATGCAGGGAAAGCTTGAGCTTGCAGTAACTTTACCATTTGCAGACAGGAACTCTACCCTAACCTTCAAGCACACCAAAACTGAAAAGAGTTATAAATGGTTTCTCCTTCCATCAGTCATACAAAAAAGAAAGAGTAAAACAAAGAATGATAACATAAGCATATTCCCCCGCATAGATAATCTATATGGCAGAAACTGTAGTGTAACTACGATCCATACCTGGAAAACACCAAGTTTTCTGTTATACTCAGATTCGGGTACTGTTAATGAGACAGTAAGCTGCAGCTTGTGATTATAAGGAATTGTATGAGTACTAACAATCTTCTCATCAATTTGCTGTATATAATGTTGAGGATTGCCAAAACTAGCAGAAGACATTAATGGCATGTAAGCAACTGGACTACTTTTCGTGTAGTCGAAATTGAGGTTAGTTGAAATCTGTATAGGCTTCTCAACCAGGCATCGCATAACAACACCTCCAAACACAAACCCAGATAGTAGCAACCCAAGAAGCATGGAACAGACATATACTGACCAAAACAAGGCAGATCCGAACCTCATCACCATGCTT